TGTCAGTAAATAAGCCCTTACATTTCCCCTCTTTCCCCGAATATAAGCATCTATTATTGTTAATGGTGAAGAATTTTAATAATACTAGTTGAAACAGATAAGTAAAAACTATATAAGAAGAAGTGCATAATGCATTTCATGTAAGTCTCTCTCCTAATGCCGGCTCCCAGAAATAACCAGTCAATGGTTTGATGTATTACATATCTTTCAACATTTTTCATATATATCCATACAAATATGTATTTTTAAAGTAAATGTGCTCATACATTTCTACTTGTAAACCAGCTTTTTAAAACTGCATGATATAACCGTACGATCCAGCAATCTCACAGCTAGGTATATATCCCAAAAAAAAGAAATCAGTGTACCGAAGAGGTATCTACATGCCCATGTTTGCTGCAGCACTGCTCACAGTAGCCAAGATAAGGAAGCAACCTATGTGTCCATCGACAGATGAGTGGATACAGTAAATGTGGCACATATGTGTGACAGAGCACTATTCAGCCACAGAAAGAATTAGATTCAGTCACTAGCAACAACATGGGTGGAACTGTAGATCGTTATGTGAGTGAAATAAGCCAGGTACAGAAAGACAAACATCACGTTCTCACTTATTTATGGGATCTAAAAATCAAAACCATTGAACTCAGGGAGATAGAAGGGATGGTTACTAGAGGCTGGGAAGGGTAGTTGTGGTTAAGGAGGAGGTGAGGATGATTAATTGTTACCAAAAAAAAAATAGAATAAGGCCTAGTATTTGATAACCCAACAGGGTGTCTATAGTCAATAACGGTATAATTGTACATTTAAAAATAACTAAAAGAGCCAGGTGCGGTGGCTCACGCCTGCAATCCCAGCACTTTGGGAGGCTGAGGCGGGCGAATCACGAGGTCAGGAGATCGAGACCATCCTGGCTAACACGGTGAAACCACGTCTCTATAAAATAAAATAAAATAACTAAAAGACTGTAATTGGATTGTTTGTAGCACAAAAGATAAATGCTTGAGGGGAAGGATACCCTGTTTTCTGTAATGTGGTTATTACACATTGCATGCCTGTATCAAAACATCTCGTGTACCCCATAAATATGTACACCTACTATGTACCCACGACAATAAAAAATAAAACATTATTTTTTTAAAACTTTCTGATACAGCTAGCATAGATGGCTGTGTTACTTAGTAGTTGCCTAATATTTCAGTGATAGAATTGATGAAACAACCCACTTAACCAATCTATTCCTTGTCTCCAGTTATTCAATATTATAGCTGTATTGGCAGTCACCAAGATCATCCTCAGGCTCACTTATTTAGTAGGAGGATTCACAGAACTCAGAAGAGCTGATATAAAAAGTTATGGTTTATTAGAGAGAAAGGATACAGATTAAAATTCAGCAAAGGGAAAAGGCCCGGGGTGAAGTTCAAGAGAAGCCAGGTGCAAACTTCCAGGTATGGCCTACCTGAAGAATTTGTACAGAGGTGTGCTTAATTTTCCCAGCAATGATGTATGACAACATGTGTGAAGTATTGCTGAGAGGGAAGCTCACTCAAGCCTTGGGTTTTTATTGGGGGCCAGTTACATGGGCATGCATCATCTGCATAGCTGACCTTACCTACTCAATTTCCTGCCTCCCAGAGGTGAAACTGATGCAGCATGGCCCAGGGCCTCAGGCATATAGAAACAGGCTTTACCATAGTCACCCTGTTAGCACATCTAGTCAAACATATCGTGTGGCAGAAGGAGCTGGTCAAGGGCCAGTCCTCCCAAAGACAGGTCCTTCTTTACAGGGCTTGAGCAAACACAGCCTGCACAGTTAACCCTTTACTACACACATGTCTTTTATATTTATGATCTGAACACTGACTAGGCCCTCAGCAGCCTGTTCCTGCAGGTCAGCTTCCAAATACATGCTCTGCAGAGAATACTCACATACTCGCCACTCTCTTCAGGCAATTTGTCCTCAAACGGGCTATTCTTCTCACAGCTCTATCCTCACAGCATAAAAACTAGATTTTTATTTCACCCAGAAAATAGAAGCCATCAGAAGAGAACGCCTTTAACTTCTTGCCACCAAACTCCTGAGCCTCCCTCCATCCCTGCCCATTATTTTCTTTTTTCCTCTGGTTACCATGGAAAAGGGTAATCGTCCACCTGGCTTTGGATCCCATCCCACCCCTTAAATAACTCAAGGACTTCTTTTCTCCTGTATCTTTAATTGTTTTCTCTCTTCTAATATGCCCACAACCTTTCCTGTAGAAAAGAGAAACACCTCCCTCTTTCACACTTTGCTTTGGGTATGGTCTCTTCTTTCTTTTTGTCTTGAAAGATGAGTCTACACCCACTGCCTCCAATTTCCTGCTTCCCACTGCCTCCTTGTCCCCTGCAATCAGGATCCCTTTCCCCAGATATCTTTGAGATCCCACTTTTAATTCTTTTGGCTATATAACCTAGAAGTGAGATTGTTGGATTATGTGGTAATTCTATTTTTAATCTTTTGAGAAAACTCCATACTGTCTTCCCTAGTGGCTGCACCATTTTACATTCCCTTCAGCAATGAACAGGGGTTCCAATTTTTCCACATTCTTGCCAAAACTTATTTTCTGTGCTTGAAAAAAACACTAGCCATCCTAATGAATGTAAGATGATATATCACTGTAGCTTTGATTTGCATTTCTTTAATGATTAGCAATTTGAGCATCTTTTCCTATGCTTTCTGGCCTCTTGTATATCTTCTTCAGAGGAATGTCTATTCAGGTCCATTGCCCAGTTTTTAAAAAATTGGGTTACTTGTTTTTCTGTTGCCGAGTTGTAGGAGTTTTTTTTTTTTTTTTTTTTTAAATATGTTCTGGATATTAACCTATCAGATATATGCTTTGCAATTATTTTCTCCCATTCCATACATTGCCTTTTCACTCTATTGACTGTTTTGCTTGATATGCAGACATTTTAAAGTTTGATATAGGCCAGACGCGGTGGCTCACACCTGTAATCCCAGCATTTTGGGAGGCCGAGGCGGGTGGATCATGAGATCAAGAGATTGAGACCATCCTGGCCAACATGGTGAAACCCCATCTCTACTAAAAATACAAATACATGGTGGCATGCACCTGTAGTCCCAGCCACTCAGGAGGCTGAGGCAGGAGAATTGCTTGAACCCGGGAGGCAGAGGTTGCAGTGAGCCAAGAGCACCACTGCACTCCAGCCTGGCACCTGGCGACAGAGCAAGGCTCTGTCTTAAAAAAAAAAAAAAAAAAAAATGAAAAAGTCACAATTTTTTTTTTTTTCTTTTGTTGTTTGTGCTTTTCGTATTTTATCCAAGAAATTGAGGGACAAGAAAAGGAAAAACCAGTTAAGTACACAGCTAAGGCTAGTCCTCGGAGAAGCAGCTGAAAAATCACAGCTACAAGCAAAATAGAGCAACCTGGGGAACTTGCACAGCGGGGAGGAGGGCTTACCTAAAACAAACCCGCAGTGATATAAACAAGAGAAGCCATGCTTTGTGCTTGTCTAGGGACTTACCCATAGCGGCAGAAGATAAGGGGAGTTGCACGGACAGCTTTACTCATAAGAGACTGCTCAAACAGCTATAGAGATGAGAGGAGTTTCTTGTAATAGCTTTTGAATTTTACTGTAAAAACGGCACCTCATTTGGGCTCCCCTCTACACTGTGGAGAGCTTTCTTCTTTTGCTTATTAAACTTTCGCTTCAACCTTACTCTTTGTGGCCACGCTTCTTAATTTTCTCAGTCATGAGACAATAAGCTCAGATAACACCTTAGACAACGAGATCATTGACCCTTACCTGTTTCAAAAGTTTTGTCAAATTTAAGGCCATGAAGCTTTTCCCCTATGTTTTCTTTTTAGAATGTTATATTTTTAGATCTTTATTTGAAGTTATTTTTTGTATATGGTCCAAGGTGAGGGTCCACCTTCATTCTTTTGCATGTGGATATCTAGTTTTCCCAACACCATTTGTTGAGGAGATTGTCCTTTTTCCATTGTGTGGTCTTGGCACTCTTTTGAAAGATTATTCAAACATTTATACAATGTTGCACATGATCAGCAACTTTGTGGGCTGGTGACACTGGTGGTAGGAAGAATTTACCAAGATAGTTGTAGGTAAAGAAAAGCAAGTTATTAGAGAAAGTATGAAAATACATTGCAAGGGAGCAACAGGCAAGTCCGCAAGAGAGAAGCTGACTGGCAGGACACAAAGGCTTGCTGGGAATTTTGTAGAATGGTGCTTATGTTGTGTGCAAAAGAGGGCTTTGTGCAGTACTAATAATGCCAAGGTTGCAGTGAGCTAAATTCCATTTTTCTATCAGCTGAGGGTCTGTGATAGCTAGGCACAGGAAGATTGTGAGTTATTTGCACAGGAGGGCTATGCGTCCTGGACCTCGAAGAAAGGCAGACTTACGGCTTATCTGCTTTCTCCTTTTGCTTCCCTTCGTCCAGCCAGCCTGATTCCTTTTCCCTAATTAGGACCCCACATGCAAGGGTTTGTTCTGTTCCAGGATAGAGACAAGTCAATGTATCTATCTTTATACCAGTACTATAGCTGCTACTTCTTGATCAATTACAGCTTTAGTACCTCTCTCGCCTATCGTCACTATGCAAGAGATATATAAAAGATACCCAATCATAGTAGTACCCCCACTTCCTGGCAGCATTCAATCTGGAGCAAAGCCTGCTTCCTTAAACCCTTGCCAAAATCACCAAATGAAAGCCCCAAATCTGTATAGGATGTTCCCAACATCCTCGTTCTGAGATGCCCTGAAATTCTCCATTGCTCATGACTGAGTAATAAAACCAACTTGTTTAACTAAAGGCGGGTTTCTGGTAGTCCTGGCTGGAGAGCATTGACTTACAAAATATAGGATTAATATCTTCAAAATAAATAGAACAGTAAACATCAACAAGGATTCACACCCCGATAATGAAATTGGGCAGAAAAAGGAAAAATAATCGTAAGATGCAATGTACAAATGGTTTTATAATACTGAAAAAAATTTTACTTCAAATGCTTAACATGATGCTTCTGATTCAGTTGGTGGGACCTTTATTTCACATTTGAATTCAGCTGCTCCCGATGTCCCTTTCCTGAAAATCTCAATACTAAAAGCTCGAGAAACCCTGTAGTTGGCGAAGTTTGTCCTTTACCATCAGCTTTTGGGGTGGGGGTCAGAAGAAACACGGGTGAAAATGCAGCGCAGAACGAGGCTGAAGCTCCGCCCCTCGACAATAAGTCCATATTCCAGCGGCCGACATGGTCCTCCGAGGGAGCCGCTGAGCCGCCGAGGCTGGCCGGTCCCAGGGGCAGGACGTTCTAGCACGAGCCTACTCGATGGTAGGGAATGGAGCGACTTGGTCTCCGGGCGCTGCCATGTTGGAGGCTCCGGGCCCGAGTCATGGCTGCGAGCTCCGCCACCCCAGCAGCGGTGTTAAAGCCAGCTGCGTCCAGCAGATGCTGGAAGTGCAGCCAGGACTGTATCTGGGTGGAGCCGCGGCCGTCGCGGAACCAAACCACTTGAGGGAAGCGGGCATCACGGCCGTGCTAACGGTGGACTCGGAGGAGCCCAGCTTCAAGGCGGGGCCTGGGGCCGAGGGTCTATGGCGCCTCTTCGTGCCAGCGCTGGACAAACCCGAGACTGACCTGCTCAGCCATCTGGACCGGTGCGTGGCCTTCATCGGCCAGGCCCGCGCCGAGGGCCGTGGGGTGTTGGTGCACTGGTGAGTGGCCGGGTCAGTGGGCTACGTGCCCCGCCAGGTTTCCAGCCGGCCCCCGTCGCCCCTTCCGAGGCCCTCAGGGCAGTACTAGGGCGTTGTCATTCCGAGTGAACCTCCTCCCGGTGCCTCCCGTAGGAGGCGGGTATCTAAGAAGGGTGGAGGCTGGAGGCGGGCCCCTGGTGTGTGTGCAGGCTTTCATGCAATACGTGCAGCAACAAAGGGCTGGGTAGGCGTCATCTGGTAAATGACAAAATCCCTACACCCCAAGGATTTTACAGCTCTGTAAGAGAAGCTAGACACCCACCCCAATGATTGTAATGCAGATTAGGTTGCTTCCTGTCTGGTAAACGGGATTAACAAAGATTTAGGGTTAATGTTTTGGTATGGGTGGGGGATGGTTGATGAAGAGGTGAATTGGTTTGGATCTAAAGGATCCCTGGGCCTTGCCTAGGAAGGAGATTGTTGCTGCAAAGACAAAAAAAACAAAAAACAAAAAAACAAAAAAACAAAAAGAGGAGGGTGGTCGGGGAATCCCTGCCGGGCGCGGTGGCTCACGCCTGTAACCCCAGCACTTTGGGAGGCCGAGGCGAGTGGATCTCCAGATCAGGAGTTCGAGACCAGCCTGGCCAATATGGTGAAACCCTGTCTCTACTGAAAATACAAAAATTAGCCGGGCTTGGTGGTGCTCGCCTGCAGTCCCAGCTACTGAGGCAGGAGAATCACTTGAACCCGGGAGGCAGAGGTTGCAGTGAGCTGAGATCGTGCCACTGCACTCCAGCCTGGGTGACAGAGCCAGACTCCATTTCAAAAAAAAGAAAAGAGAAAAAATGGGAATCCCTAAGCAGTTCTTGGTTGGATTGGAGTGTAATAACAATAGTTTACATTTATTGCGCACATAAAGGACAGAAGACACTGATAGACTCGAAAGAAGTCGGACCAGATCTCGAGGTCCCAGAACGCTAAGATGAAAGGAGATTGGATTTGTTTTTGTTTTGTTTCATTTATTTTTATTTTGAGACATGGTCTTGCTCTCTTGCCCAGGCTGTACTATAGTAGCGTAATTACGGCTCACTGCAGCGTCAACCTCCCAGGCTCAAGTGATCCACCCGCCTCTGCCTCCAGCGTAGTTGGGACTAGGACTACAGGCACATGCCACCACATCCGGCTAATTTTTTAATTTTTTTGTAGAGGCGGGGGTCTCACTTTGTTCCCCAGGCCGTGGTCTCCAATTCTTGGGCTCAAGCAGTCCTCTCACTTCGGCCTCCTAAAGTGCAGGGATTTCAGGCATAAGCCAATGCGCCTAGCCAGAAGTTTAGATTTGTTCTGAGCCCTTACGAAATTTTTTTAAATTACTGTTACTATTTTTGAATAGGTAATACATTCATATGGTTCAGAATTCAAAAGGAAAAAGGAATAATTCTTTTGTACCTTGGTAATATTTCAGAGGCAATGGGTTTATTTAAGAAGTAGAGATGAAATGGACCTAAACTTTACTGTTATTAGGGGGCTGGGTTTTTTGTGTTTTTTTTTTTTTTTTTTTTTTTAATTGTTGCTATTTGCTGTTTTATTTTAAAGGTCTCTTTTTCAGTCATGCAGGAGTCAGTCGAAGTGTGGCCATAATAACTGCTTTTCTCATGAAGACTGACAAACTTCCCTTTGAAAAAGCCTATGAAAAGCTCCAGATTCTGAAACCAGAGGCTAAGTGGGTTCTTTTTTTATAGTAATAATTCTGCTTTTGTGATGTGATTTGAAAAAAATGAAACTATGTATTTCTTTGTCATTACAGGATGAATGAGGGGTTCGAATGGCAACTGAAATTATACCAGGCAATGGGATATGAAGTGGATACCTCTAGTGCAATTTATAAGCAATATCGTTTACAAAAGGTTACAGAGAAGTATCCAGGTAAGTAATAATTGCTAATGTGTAATAGGCTTTTTAGATGTCATTTACTTTGGCATTGCATGCATTACCTCACTTCCAGCAATCCCTGAGAAACTATTGTTTCTTTTTGAAACTGTGATTTAGCCCAAAATAACCTGTTCAAAATCACATGGTTTATAAATGGGAGGTTCGGGATTTGAACTCAGGCAGTCTCTGCCCAGAACCTAAGCACTTAAATCACTGTCCTCTGCTACTTTAGCCTGATTTGTCAACACTGGAATTTTATTTTATTTTATTTTTTAAATTTCTGAGGTCATCACTTGTTGCCTCAATTTGATTTTAACTGAATTTATCTGAAAATGCAGAGCTGATTTTGACAAATAAATGTATTTTAATTATGTCATATAGAATTGCAGAATTTACCTCAAGAACTCTTTGCTGTTGACCCAACCACCGTTTTACAAGGATTGAAAGATGAGGTTCTCTACAAGTGTAGAAAGTGCAGGTAAAATATTTTGTATCCTTTGGAGATTTTATCTTGTCGCAGTAGCTGAAAAGTACTTAGCGTTTTGTTTTCTTAAATTACTATAGGAAGATTTTGTTTAATTGAATCATACAGAAAGTTTTAGTTCAGATATGCTTTCAGGAAGAATATAAATTCTTAAAAAGAGAAATAATCAGATTGTAGGGGTTACTGAAAATTTGAGTAGCATAATCAGTGTTACATTATTTTGTCCTTTAAGAAATATTGCACACTTCGCCAGGCATGGTGCCTCACGCCTGTAATCCCAGCACTTTGGGAGGCCAAGGCGGGCAGATCACATGAAGTTGGGAGTTTGAGACCAGTCTGGCCAACGTGGTAAAACCCCGTCTCTACTAAAAATACAAAAATTAGCTGGGTGTGGTGGCAGGTGCCTGTAATCCCAGCTACTCAGGAGGCTGAGGTGGGAGAATTACTGGAACCCAGGAGGCAGAGGTTGCAGTAAGCCAAGATTTTGCTGTTGCACTCAGCCTGGGCAGCAGGGTGAGACTCTGTCTTTAAAAAAAAAAAAATATTGCACATTTCATCCATGTTTTCATTCTTTTGGAAGTCATTAATATTTGTGTTTGTTTGGGGCTTGCAGGCGATCATTATTTCGAAGTTCTAGTATTCTGGATCACCATGAAGGAAGTGGACCTATAGCCTTTGCCCACAAGAGAATGACACCATCTTTCAAGCTTACCACAGGGAGGCAAGCTCAATGTACATCTTATTTCATTGAACCTGTACAGTGGATGGAATCTGCTTTGTTGGGAGTGATGGATGGACAGGTGAAAACACATTTTATTTTCTACAACTTTATTGAATCATCTATATTTTATTCCTTTTTGCATTTTAAACTCTATGTTAACTAGTGTTTTACTCCATTTCTTAACTCCTTTATTTCTGAAGATTATATCTTTCTAGTGTAGATAAGACTATCAAAAATAAAATATTTTTCAAAAACCAGCTGATCCAAAATAGTGAATCACTTCTGATTGAGAGCTTATATTTTTTCAAATATAAGACTAACATTTATTTTTAAACTAATTAGAATATATTGGCTGGGCACAGTGGCTCATGCCTGTAAATCAGAGAACTTTGGGAGGCCAAGGTGAAGGATTGCCTAAGCCCAGGAGTTCAAGACCAGCCTGGGTAACATAGTGAGACCCCATCCCTATAAAAGAAAGTAAAAAAATTTTAATTTTATAAAAATATATATATAAAAGAAAAAATATATTTAACAAAATTTGAACTTTGTAACAACAGTAGGGTAAATCAGGGATTTTTAAATTAGGTTAAAAGTTCTTTCTTTTTCTCTGTTGGCTTCCTGTATGTGTCTCTTTTTTCTCTGATCTTTCAGGAAAGTGAAATTTAGTATGTTTTGCTATGAGATTCTTTTTCATTTCTAGTTAAAGAATGCAGCACATCCTATTGCTCCTATAACCAGTGGGTGGGGGAAAAAAAGAAAGAAAGAATGCAGTTAATGTGACATCTTACATAAAAATGTGTTTAACTTGGTTGGAGTGTGCCATGACAGCCACATTTCTCCTTTAGGTTTACTTGATATTAATGTGAAGGTATTCTATAATAATAATGATTTTGAATGTTTGTATGATTTGTATAAAAGTTTGTATAGTGGCTATTTTATGAAACACTTTATTTGTATTATATCATTTGAAGAATGCCATAGCTTTATAAAATAGGTAGAGCAGTTATATTTACATTTATGCATGAGGAACTGTTTATGAGATGGTGTTTTGCCTAGAAGGTGGTACCCTATGATCAAACTCACATTTTCAGATGATGCTGGTTTTTAAAAAAACAACCTTATTATAGTATAATTCACAGGACATACAATTTATCTATTTAAGGTGTACAATTCAATGTTTTTTTAAAAAGTATATTCACAGTGTTTTTTGCAACTGTCATCATGTATTAGTCCATTTTCACACTGCTATAAGATAGTATGTGAGACTAGGTAATTTATAAAGGAAAGGTTTAATTGACTCATGATTCTGCATGGCTGGGGGGGCCTCAGGAAACTTACAATCATGTTGGAATGGAAAGCAGGCCTCCTCTTTACAAGGCGGCAGGAGAGAAGCATGTGTGAAGGAGAAGCTGTCACTTATAAAACCATCAGATCTTATAAGAACTCACTCACTATCACAAGAACAGCATGGGGGAATCCACCTCTATGATCCAGTCACCTCCCTTCCTCCACATGTGGGGATTACCATTTGAGATGAGATTTGGATGAGGACACAGAGCCAAACCTTATCATGTTACCATTCACATCACCCTGAAAATAATATACACATTATCAGTCACTTTCCATTCTTGATGGCATTATTTGTAGCAGTTACAGTTTTTAATTTCAGTTATTATCTAATTCATCAGTTTTTCTTTTTTGTGGCTTGTGACTTTGACTTTCTGATTTTATTTAACCTGGGAAACACACACACTCCAACCTAGTTAAATACACTTTTTTGTAAGATTCTGAATCCTGTGCATACTTCTTTGTATACGTATTTGAATTTTTTTCTATAGAATATGTACCTAGAAGTGGAATTTCTGGTTCGAAGAATGTGTGTTTTAAATATTAGTGGTATTCTAGGACAATATTCAAAATGCCCATACAAATTTGGGTTTCAGTAACTGAATGCATGTACCCATTACCCCATATCCTTGACGTGATAGATACTATACAACTGGTAATGTTTTACCAATCTGCAGGGTAAAAAATGTTATTCCTAAAATGTTTGATTGGAATTTTATGAAAATAGTCATCGATCACCATCTTTATATATTTACCAGCCATTTATAGTTTACTTTTCTATAAATTGCTTTCATATTCCTGGGCCCATTTGTCTATGGGTTTTAAAAACTCTTTCTTACTGATTTTTTTTTTTTTTTTTTGAGACGGAGTCTCACTCTGTCTCCAGGCTGGAGTGCAGTGGCACAATCTTGGAATCTCCACTCACTGCAACCTCCGCCTCCTGGGTTCAAGCGATTTTCCTGCCTCAGCCTCTCGAGTAGCTGGGATTACAGGTGCGCGCCACCACACCCAGCTAAGTTTTGTATTTTTAGTAGAGATGAGGTTTCACCATGTTGGCCAGGATGGTCTCAATCTCTTGACCATGTGATCTGCTCACTTTAGCCTCCCAAAGTGCTGGGATTACAAGTGTGAGCCACTGTGCCCGGCCTTCTTATCAATTTGTTGGAACTTTATATATTCTAGATGTTAATAGTTTATCTGATATATTGTAACTATTTTCTTCAGTCCATTGCTTTTCTCACATTTTTTGTATGTTTTGTCATATTAAAAAATGAAAGATATTTACATAATTAAATTTGTTAGTTTTTATATTTGTTGCTTCTGAATTTTTTTTGTTTTTTTGAGATGGAACCTGTCACCTAGGCTGGAGTGCAGTGGCACGATCTGAGCTCACTGCAACCTCTGCCTCCTGAGTTCAAGTGGTTCTCCTGCCTCAGCCTCCCAAGGATTACAGGTGCCTGCCACCATGCCTGGCTAATTTTTGTATTTTGAATAGAGACAGAGTTTCACCATGTTGGCCAGGCTGGTCTCGAATTCTTGACATCAGGTGATCGGCGCACCTCAGCCTCGCAAAGTGCTGGGATTACAGGTGTGAGCCACCACACCTAACCCACTTCTGAGTTTTATGTCTAGATTTTCTATAGCTCAAGATTAAAAATAAAAACCCCGGCCTTATGCACAAATCAAAGAGCTAAACGTAAAAAATAATGCTGTAACTAACTACACTAGAAGAAAATGAAATTGACTTACTAGGTTTTTTTTTGATTTAGCTATTTTCCTGGAGTATCAGTTTGTCTTTAAATAGCCAAGAATCTGACTTACATGCTGTCAGTACATACAGTTAGTAATATAGCATGAAAATCCTAACGTGCTTTTCTGTACTTTAGCCGTGATGATTTCATTTGAAATCCTAAATTATAAACTGATTTAAAAGTTATATATGTATGCCACATCCATGAAACCCTCCTTAAATCGCAAGCTTGGACTTTTCTTCCTTCAAGCTACATCTGTTCCTCCCCTAAACTTCCTGAATACAACATTCTTCCTATGCAATAATTGTAGTCTAGTATCTATTACAGTAAGTTTCCAATGCATTTTATCTTAGTGATTAGATTATAAACTCAAGGTGGGGACTGTGCCTTACTTGTTTTAATAGCCTATATTGATTCCCAGAGATAATGACTTGTTTTACATAAAGTGAATGAATGAAGTAACACATTTGCTTTATTTCAGCTTCTTTGCCCAAAATGCGGTGCCAAGTTGGGTTCCTTCAACTGGTATGGTGAACAGTGCTCGTGTGGTAGGTGGATAACACCTGCTTTTCAAATACATAAGAATAGAGTGGATGAAATGAAAATATTGCCTGTTTTGGGATCACAAACAAGAAAAATATGAACATGGTATTTTATCGCTTCGGAAGAAACTTGCAGATGATATGTGCTGCCTTTACTTCTTACCATTCATGGCAGATTGTTTAGGCTATCAACATTTCATTTGAAATGTGAGAAGATAAAATCACTTGATGTAACCTGGAAACTATGCTTTGTTAGCTTATTATATAAGTAGAATAGTTTACGTGGCAATCAAAACCTTTTAGTCATATACATTTTATTTGATATTAAAATCTTTTATAACCAGATGCTGTCTCCGTTTCATGTATTTTTTAAAGTTCTGATGTTTGGAATGTTATGTGATCTTAAGGTCTGTATAGACAAAATTATGTACAAAAATTTGAAACTATTAAATTTAAATGGATATTCTTTTATTTTCAGAAATGTAAAGCAGATTCGTTTAGACATATTTTGGAGTTATTTCTCTTCCTTTCTTCCTTTCCTTTCCCTTATCTTTTCCTTGCCTTCCCTTCCCTTCCCCTTCCTTTTCCTTTCCTTTCTTTATTTTCTTTCTTTCTTTTTTTTTTTTTTTTGAGACAGACTCCTGCTGTGTTGCCCAGGCCACAGTGCAGTGGCGGGATCTCAGCTCACTGCAACCTCCACCTCCCAGGTTCAGGTGAATCTCCTGCCTCAGCCTCCCAAGTAGTTGGGATTACAGACGCCTGCCACCATGCCCAGCTAACTTTTTTGTATTTTTAGTAGAGGCAGGGTTTTGTCATGTTCCCCAGACTGGTTTTGAACTGAGCTCAGGCAGTCTGCCTGTCTTTGTCTCCCAAAGTGCTGGGATTACAGGTGTGGAGAGCCACTGCACCTGGCCTCTTTGTTTTAAGGGACGTTAGTAAACCCATACATGTCTGGATTTTTTTTATTGGAAATGTAAAGGAAAGGCCATTAGTAAAACGCTGATTAAAATGCAATTTTGCTATTATTGTTCAGTAATCCCAATTATCTATAGTTTTAGAAAAGTGAGATCCCTTTTGAAGTGATCTATATAAAGAAATGTGTTAATGTTAGATGTGTTTCTAATGATAAAACAAATGTGGAGTTACAATATATCAAGTCATTTTTTAGCCCAATATGTGAATAATAGAAAAGGTAATATATTCAGATTAGTTTTTTAACCTGATCTATAGAAACTAGAATTATTTTATTCAATAATTACAATTGGATCTAATTAGATATTTGAACATTTACAAGAATCAGAATTGACTAATAAAGGCCAGGTACAGTGGCTCACGCCTGTAATCCCAGCACTTTGGGAAGCCAAGGCAGGCAGATCACTTAAGGTCAGGAGTTCGAGATCAGCCTGACCAAAGTGGTGAAATCCTGTCTCTACTAAAAATAAAAAATTAGCCAGGCGTGGTGGCACATGCCTGTAGTCCCAGCTGCTTGGGAGGCTACTCGAAAAAAACTAATAAAGAAAAATATTGTCCGTGTCCTTAAGACATTTTGCATATTTACACATACATATGTGTCTATGTAGTAAACACCATAGTGGGAGTAATTTTAAAATACAAAAATATGTTGTGAATAATGATCCTCTTAATAAATGCCTAGCTCAGTTTTTTAAATGTATGGGAGTATTATGGAAAATTCTTGAGAAAAATCTTAACATTGGACCTGAAGCCTTTGGCAATCTCCGTGTAATAATTTTTCTTTATTTTTTTTTATTTTTTGAGATGGGGTTTCACTATTGTTTCCCAGGCTGGAGTGCAATGGCACAATCTCAGCTTACTGCAACCTTCGTTGCCTAGGTTCAAGCCATTTGCCTGCCTCAGCTTCCCAAGTAGCTGGGATTACGGTGTGCGTTAACTACGCTTCGCTAATTTTGTAATTTTAGTAGAGACAGGGCTTCAACATGTTGGTCAGGCTGGTCTCGAACTCCTGACCTCAAGTGATCCACCCACCTTGGCCTCCCAAAGTGATAGGATTATAGGCATGAGCCACTGCTCTCTGACATAAGTTTTCTTTTGAGAAAAAATTACTTCATTGGTTTTAGCTTTCATAAAATCATACAGCTTCATACTATTATTCTCTAAAAAGCTTTTTAAAAACAGGTTGAGGAGATTGGGCGTGGTGGCTCATGCCTGTCCCAGGACTTTGGGAGACAAAGGCGGGTGGATCACTTGAGGCCAAGAGTTCAAGACCAGCCTGGCCAACATGTGAAACACTGTCTCTATTTAAAAAAATAAAAAGGTTGCAGCATGTGAAATTACCCCTTTTGTAGGTAAAAAGTAGTTACATAGCTGCAGTTTAATATGATTCAAATTAATGCCTATCCATCATACATTGTTGATCAGATTATAAAATAGATAGTATGGATCAAATGCAATTTTAATTAAGTTGTAAATTCACTAGTCATACTCCCCACCATTTGCAGGGTTCCAACAATAGTATACATTGAGGCCCATATACTATTTGTCTTAACTTTTAAAAGTTATAAATTGGCCAGTGCAGTGGTTCATGCCTGTAATCCCAGTACTTTGGGAGGATGGTGGATCACTTGAGGTCAGCAGTTTGAGACCAGCCTGGCCAAGGTGGGGAAACCCTGTCTCTACTAAAAATATAAAATTAGCCAGGTGTGGTGGTGGGCGCCTATAATCCTAGCTACTTAGGAGGCGGGGAGGCAGGAGAATTGCTTGAACCCTGGAGGCAGAGGTTGCAGTTAGTCAGGATCGCACCACTGCACTGCAGCCTGGGCGACAGAGCAAGACTCTGCCTTAAAAAAATAAAATCACAAATCAAGCTACCTGTTTAATAAAATGTTTTATTCTATTATCTTGACAAATATACCTTCATAATGATCTGTCAGACCAGGTTTGAATTTAGAATTCTCTGATTTTATAAGATTCCATGACAAAACATGGCAATGTAGGGAGAGGTGGCCCCCACCCACAGGCTGCCTCCTTTATTTCCCCACCTCTTGATATGTTCTGTGTCATGAAGAGCCTGGTGCATGCATATATATATATATATATGTGTGTGTGTATCCTCCACCTGTATGTATAAGGTCTCGCTACAGCCCTGGTGTATACCATTGGCTCATTTCACTCTTAAGAGGTAAGACGCATGAGCCAGCCCTAGAAGCAGGCTTGAAGCTATTTGGGCTATTTGGATGTTAGATGCATGTCTAGAAGGGGGCATGTGTTCTAGCTGAGCACATCACGTTGGCAGTATGGATTCTTATCCTGTGGGGACAGAGCCAAAGGTAAAGTGTGGGTCCAGGGTAGGAGCTCCTCTTACCTAGACCAAAGGGTGGTATTGTCTCTAGACATAAAGTTCTTTTTCAAATTTTATTTCTATTCTAAGGGTTTAAGTTGAAAACGAGGAGTAGATTCAAGAGAAAGGATTCAGTAACATCCAAGACTTAACGATTTAAAAAGAAAAGCCTGGCAACTAGAGTGGAAGGAAACCCTTAATCACAGTGTATATAAAAAATCTATGGGAAAAAATCTTATTTGGTGGTAAAACTTTTCAAACATTCATATTAAAATTGAAAAACAAGGTAAAAGATGCCTACTCTAGCCCCGACCTTCGGTATTGTATTAGAGGTCCTAATCATTGCAGTAAAACAAGGGGCAGAACAGTTTAAGACTTAGGAAAAAAATCTGAACTCACTAATAAATCTCAACATCGCTAAAAGTGGGACAGTATGTATATGCTGCCTGCTATGATGCAAGGGAGCACCTATGAAGTATTCTTGCAAAAACAAAAGCAAAAACTATCCATTCATGCCTTTAGATGTCACTGGCAGTTTCTGGAACAAATTAAGCATCACCATGAAGACATAATCAGCAGAATCACAAAGCAGGAAATTCTATAGGACCAATGATTTTTCAATAAATGGCATGGGGGGAAGAAATGGAGAGGGAATTTTCATATGAACTAAATGCAATGTGAGGACATTGTCTGGATCCTGATTTTAATTAACTGTGGAAGGAAGGGCATTTTTAAGACAGAAAACTGAACATACGACAAGTGTCAGATGACATTAAAGAATTACTAATTTTGTTGGGTATGATAATGGTATTATCAGTATGTTTCTTAAAAATAAGAAAAGGCCTTGTCTCTTAAAGATATAGGTTGAAGTAAAAAAAAAAAAAAGATGTAGGTTGAAGTATTTATGGGTGAAATAATATGATATCTGGATTTGCTTTAAAATATTCCAGGAAGGCTGGGCATGGTGGCTCATGCCTGTAATCCCAGCAGGAGGTTGAGGTGGATGGATCGCCTGAGGTCATGAGTTTGAGACAGCCTGGCCAGCATGGGGAAACCCCGTCTCTACTAAAAACACAAAAATTGGCTGAGCCTGGTGGCAGGTGCCTGTAATCCCAGCTACTTGGGAGGCTGAGGCAGAATGGCTTGAACCCAGGAGGCGGAGGTTGCAGTGAGCTGAGATTGCACCATTGCACTCCAGCCTGGGTGACAGAGTGAGACTCTGTTTCAAAAAAAAAAAAATTCCTGGAAAAAAACAAAGCAAAATGAAAAAAGTTGTGGAGAGGCAGGATAGATAAAACAAGAATGGCAAATTTTTGAAGCTGAAGCTGGGTGATAGGAACATGGGGATTCACTATATCAGCTCTTGTGTTTGTTTGAAAATATACTAAGTTTATTTTAAAAATTAAAACATTAAATAAAATAGAATTTAAAAGGTTGGTATTTGCATAATGTTCTTCTACATAAAAAAATCCTAAAGAACTTTAGACAATTTTTTTAAAAAATCATTTTTATCACATCTTAATTTTCATCTACCATTTTATATATATATATATATATATATATATACACACACACACACACACACAGACACACACACACATACATACATACTTTTTTTTTTTTTTTAAGACAGAATCTTGCTATATTGCCCAGGCTAGTCTTGAACACCTGGGTTCAAGCAATCCTCCTGCCTCAGCCTCTTGAGAAGCTGGGATTACAGGTGCATACCACTGTGCCTGGCAAAGACAAAATATTAGAATAACAGAATTCAGCAAGGTTTTTGGTACAAGATTGCTGTAAAAAAATCCAGAGTGTTCCTATACCCCAATAATAGCCAAACAGAAAAAAAAGGATGTGAAAAACAAAACTATAAAACTATGAAAATTAAAAATTCATAAAAGGTAAGAGCGGACAGTTCACAGAAAAGGAAATAAGGTTTCATAAGTATGGAAAAAGGCACCACTTTGCTAGGGAAATGTAAATTACAATTTTCACAGTAGTAAAAATGGTAGGAGTCTGACCATATCTA